TCATGTTTTCAAAAAAAAAGAGGATTATAAATACTCTGCTCTAATACATTGGAAAAAAATTTGTTGTTGACAGTAAAAGAACAGTAAAAAAAAAAAAGCGCGTTTAAATGCATCGCAAATAAACATGTCATAAGTATACAAGCAAATGCATATCAAACGATCCTATAAATAGAATTGGTTGAAGAGATAAGATGCACTGTATACATAAAATCATGTATTTAAACGCAAAAATATCGTTCTTTTTTTCGAAAAGTTGGCGTTGGAATATTTCGGTTTTTTATACACTTCTTTCTTCATGGACTATATTTAAGTGTAAATATGACTGCATTAATATGTAGTATAAATAATCATATGAGGATGGTATTGTTGGACATAGCAAAGTTGTGAAAATCTTTGCTTAAGACTCAGAATATGGAAAAATCGACGAATAAGAAGAAAATATTATATTTCAGTGATTATAAATTAAAATAAATACTAAGAAAAACATTTTATTGAAAAAACATCTATGTTCAACTTGACTGATTATATTTTTCAATAGTTAATTTAATTTTACTATTTAATATCAGAAAGAAAAAAAAACTTATGCAATCAATTCATTCTTTTCTTAGTCTAACTCATACTAAACTAAAGATCATAAGAAAACAGTTTTAAAGATGACATTGTAAATTTCATCCCAATATAAATCAAGTTTGTAAGTGAATTTCTATATCAAATAGTCTAATATAGAAATATTTTCTATAGACTCCTTATTCATCAGCGAATAAATGCCCACTATTATTATCAAACAATACAAGAAATAAATATGGATGAATTGTAACTTTATTGTATCGTTTTGAGAAAAAAAATTCCCGATTTTAGAGATTGGGAGTAGTACATCTTACTACACTATATGAGAGATGGATATGAATAAATTTTCCCGACTACTACTGTTAAATTGAGTATAGATCGTGTATACCCATCTTTCACAGCAAATTTATTAACTCGTGAGGAATGAGTTAGAGTTAGTTGGCGTGAGTAGTGATAGTCACTAAAACATGAAAGCAACTAATATGCCCTTTAGTCACCTTAATCTCAGTTACGGGATAGTTATCCACATAAAAATCTCATCTGGCACTTTTTTGAAAAAATCTCGTGTGACATTTTTACACTATTTTCCTCTCTATTATGCGAAAGGAGCATTTTCTAACCATGATATTTTCAGCAATATCTGACCACAACTAACAGACAAAATGATAAAAATTTCAGCTCAATCTGTTTTAATCGACAAGAGTTAATACGACTCACAAAGTATCGAATCTCGTGTGACATTTAGTGTGACAACTATATTTTCAAATTTTATTTAATGTCCCTTTCTTAACAAGAATAAGTAAAACTTTCGAATCGTCTTTGGTAGTTCTATTCCCCGCTGATAAGCTTTCATTCAAAACTAATCCGACAGATTTTGAATGCTTTGTTATATAGCAAAGACGTTTTTAAATCTCGTGTGACACCATATTGACCATTGACGGTACATCTGATATTCGGAAAAAAAATAACATAAACTGCGACGAAAGAACCAGCCAGTCTCATATCCATAGTGTATACATTGTCCACTGTAAAGGTCAACAACTGTCAAAATTCAAATGACAAGAAACCAATCAGTGATGGGTCATTTCGTGTTCATAGGTGGCAGTAGAAATCAGCCATTTTAACCTTGTGTATGTATTATTTCGGGATAGGCTAACTATAGATTCGTGGTTTTTTGTGTTGAAGTGAGCATCAATTACGAAAGCATACTCCGAAATTTTCATAAAGATTACCCTAAAGGAACTGGAATTATTAGTTTTATATATGGAACTACGAACGGTACAATAAAGTTGCAATTCACCCATATATTAAATATAAATAGTATGAAAATTGAAACAATTTTATTGAATAGAAAAATTAATGAAAAATCAAGAAATAGATACATTAAATATTAAAGGGTACTTGTAAAAACTGCAGATACATCCGGATATCTATGATTATCTTGATTTTAATTGTAAAACATAACAATAGTCATCCTGATATTTATTTGTAGAACATATTGTTTAATTAAAAATCAAAATATGAGCATTCATATTCACAAAAAAAGGTCATATTCCAAGTGAAAACCAAGAAATCTCTCCGAAATGAAAATGTGAAACACGGTGTAGTTGCCATTGCTAATCATAGGAAGATTATTTTATTCTATTTATTTTGGAAAATATTTCTCTATCAGCTTTTTATTTAATGTTCCAAAAACGTAATAAGGAAGTAGCTCATATATTATAATAACATGTTATTCCTATATGGTCTTCGATCGATTATCCACAACTTTTGTCAAAGTCTATGATGCGGGGAGCGGGAAAGAACTCTGCTAAGCTATCTGTCACGCTCTGTGACGTTTTTATAGGTATGTTTGTCATAGTGCATGACAAAGAATTCACATTGTTGAGGATGTCTGTGATGAGCCGTTTGTAATGTATCTTTGATGGCCAATTGGTATGTTCTGTCATAGTCTATGGGAAGAAGGGGGCGGTATGAATTTCTACCCTATACACTTCAAAACTCCTTTTAGACCGTGTCTTACAAAAGCGCAGCCTAGAATGGATATCCATATGATATTTGTTTTGAACTCTATCGTGTTTTGCAGTTTGATCGGTGTCAGTGAGTATCTGCAGTTTTTACAGGCATTTAATATGAATACATGAAAATAAAAATCATGTAAAACTCAATTTTTTTTCCGTCCAAACATGAGTTATGGACGTTGTTTCAAAAACAATTAAAATTCCACAAAAAAAAATAATAAATATATTTTTAGCATAACACTTTGTCAAAATATTGTTTTTACAATAAAAATAATGTCGATTTACATATTGTTTAGATACAATTGCGAATTTATTTTGTTCCTATTAGGATAGAAATCGTCTAGATTCAGATTGAATCGCATTATTTATATCGCCATCACTAACATTATCATTACACTCCATAGTACCATATTGAGCTTGTGTAATCAAGTGAAACTAATAATAGAAAAAGAAAATATTGAAAAAAAGCATAACAAAACGAAATCTTTTTTTTACATACTGATGCACTAAACTCAATAGAAATTTCTGGACAAGCTATAGCTCGTTGTTGCAGTTGAATATCAGCAACCATTTCACGTCCTTGAATAGTAACATTAGCACGTAGGTGAAGTTAGCACCATATTCCAGTAAAACCTTCCCATATTCGTCCAGGAACGTGTTCCAAGTGTTCCAACCCAGTTCCAAGTAGAACTCGACGAGTTCTATCTAATGGTAACCTTGGATCAATCGTAATCCAAACCATTGTTGAGAAAATCGCCCAAGTAGAACCCGACGAGCTCTATCTAATGGTAACCATGGATCAATTGTAATCCAAACCATTGGTGAGCAAAACCTCAAAATAGTACCTTTCCACTATGTGTATGATCACTAAAACCTTCCCATATTCGGGTGTGGGTGTGTGGATGTGGGGTGTTGGTGTGGGCGTGGGAGTGGGTGGCTGTGGATGAGTGTTGGTCTGACTGAGGGTGCACGTATTGGTATCAGTGTTTATGAAAGGATCAACCACATCCACACCCACACCCTTTTTTGTATGAATATTATCAAGTATTAGTATTTCAAGACGGATAAATTTTGAAATAATATGAGGTGTTGAAAATATAATATCAACAATAAATGGATTTAATAAACGAAGAATATTAATTCGATGTTTATTTCGAATAATCATTTTTTCATAATAACCTTCAACATTTGATTTAAATACAGTTGGAATGTTAATTTTTATTGGAATGGTTGAATTAAGAAATAAAGTTTGAAATCGTTGATTGAGATCGAAAAACACATCATAAACATGGTATAAATCAAGATATTCAAATATTTCATATAAAATTTCATTTGGTAAATCTTCAAAAAACGATCTAGAAAAAATGCAAAAATAAGAAGAATTACAAAATAAAGTCGATTTTTAGAAAACTGACTTGATTAATTGCATGCTTTTACTTTCCATTATCAAAGAAGCTTGAAGTATGTGTTGGTTATGTTGCTTATTCCTCGTCTAAAACATAAATAAACGTTAGCCTTCTTTTACCTATACATAGAAAAGAAAAAGAATAATAATATTCGTGCGTGTGAATCATCATATGATTACTATCCTTATTCCGATAGAACACAAGAGAAGACTAGCACAACGCATGTTCTTCGACAGACATTGTCTACTACGAAGTATTCACAAGCAATTTAATTTAAACAAACAGATAAAAAGAAAATATTTCATGTATATCAACTGGTCGAAAAAAGTCGACTAAATGTTTAATGCATAAAAGTGGTATCATTGGAAACAGCACAAAAATCTGAGTATTACCCTACAATACGAGCTCATGATATAGTGTAGTTCCAAGCAAGAATTTAAAAAAAAAAGATTTCCCAGAAAAGCACAGCTAGTATCATCTATCGTTCGTTCATTCGTTCTCTCTCTCTCTTCGAACAGTCTTTTTTTTTTCGTCCTTCTGCATTTGTATAGATAATAAGCTTGTTCATACATTATATAAACAGCGGAGAGAGAAAAAAAAGAATCTTATTGTATTGATGGTAATAGTCGGAGATATTTTTTTAAACGGATATATTGAAAGCTTATTTATTTCAATTGCCCAACAATACGTTTTATATTCCTTGTCAATTTTTTTTGATGATTCAAAAAAAGATTCATTTTGTTGTTTTTACTGCGATCATAAAACAGAATCAATAATCATTTTATTCGAGATAATCATAATTCGTATTATTTTATTTCTTTTATTTTTGTCAATCATTGCTATCACTATTTGACAAGAAATCGAAGGGAAAGAAAACAGCACGTGTGTCGTCTCTTTCACACACATCCTTATACATAAGATGATCAGCGGCGGATCCAGGTTTTGTTCTGGGTAGGGGCGGATTTTCAGTTTTTGCTATGACATTCGAATGAAACACATACTACAGAGTATAGAACGTTAAGTGTATCACAATTCTTTTATTTTTGCTGTTGCAAACTAACCACACGAGACTTTGAGTAAAAAGCTACTGTTATGAAGAAAAATCAAGTTTTCTTGAATCCTTTGATGCGAACCGATCAATCACTCTATCGATATCAATGGACAGATTGGGATGGATGAACATGAGCACCAGACCGTTTAGACGGTCCTCACTCATTGTGGAAGGTAGATACGATTTTAGAAGTTTCAAGGAGGAGAAGCTGCGTTCTCCTCTAGCAATTGTCATCAGAAGTGTTGCATAAACTTTTAAAAACATTATGATGCTGGGAAAAAACTTGGCGTTGGTAGCGCGGAAGGCATCAGTGGCCGTGATTGGTCGATCAGCTGGCTTCTTTTGTTGCCATTTCATTTTGTACAAATCAAATTCTGATTCGAGTATGCTAACTGACCCAGGCAACTAGAACCAGCAGTCACGATCACGATTTCGACCTTGCTCAAGGGTCTCATCAGGTGGCATAGTCCAATTCCATCACAACCTAAGTCGTGATAGAAAACCGAATGCTCAACTCTTATCTAAGATAAGAGAGAACCGGTGTAAAGATGCATGACTGCAACTAGAACAAGCAACCACGATCGCGATTTCGTCCACCTGATGAGACCCTTCAGCAAGGTCGAAATCGCGATCGTGGCTGTTGGTTCTAGTTCTAAATGAAACCATAATAGATATCATCAGAAAAAGGAAACTAAGATTGTTTGGTCATATCTGTAGAATGGACGATAATAGGCCGATCAAACACATCCTATTTGCAAAAATGAATGGAAAATCTCGAAGAGACTGTCCATGCAGAAAGTGGATGGACGACATCACAGAATGATGTGAACGCAGTGAACAAGACTTGTTCCATCTGGCACAAGACCGATGGATATGGAAGAAACTAGTCCGAACAGCGGTTGGCCCCAACGGGCGATAAGCCTATAGGACATCATGAATCCTGAATCATGAAAAAAATTGAAGACATTCAATCTAAGAGATACACTGAGACGAGTCGCAATATTCCGAACAAAAACGTATATTTTATCTTGATAAACATGACATATTTCGTGTGTTATTGTCAAGAAAAAGAGGACTCTCTTCTATATGATGTTAAACAAAAATTTTGAGTATTTGTTAATTCTTTTCACTTTCATTCTCTTTCAATATAACGTAATCATTATTATCAACAAGACCGAAATCAAATCCAGCAATGTCTTTTGAATAGAGACGAAACATCTCTAATAAAAATTAGCTTCTTTATTTGGTTCTTTTGACAAATGTGTCCAATTGTAGGTTTTTACACCGTGTAAAACTTTAAACTTATTCTAAAATGTTGAAGTACGGTTTTTTGAAAAACTTCAGTAGTTTTGAAAGATTTCTAGATTTCGAATTCCACTATATAATTATATTTTCCTTCTTTCTGAACATGACTTATAAGAACAATGACTATCAATATAAGATATAAACGAAAAAGTACAGAATAAATATTCGTCTATAAATTAATTAGTTTATTCTTCATTGACACACTATTTTTGTCACCGAAGTCATTCATTCATTCATTTACTGAATGACATCAACGGACACAAATAAATATATGTTGTAGCTAAAATTAAAATTCAGTCAAATTTTTTTTTGCCTAGTCAAAATTGAAATTTTATTTTGATCACAACATATATATATATATATATATACATCATAAGAAAAGTATTCGTCACAATCAGTATGAATCAGTGTAACATTAATCTTCTTGATCTTCCTACTGAAATATTAATTACCATTTTTAAAAAATTAGATAATATTGATATTCTATATTCATTGTTTGATGTTAATAATCAACGACTCGACAAGATAATAAAAGAAAATATTTGTATTCATACTCTCAATTTTGTATCAACAACGTTAACTGATGATACTTTATCGATTTCTGATCGAATACTTGATCGATTCTGCATGAATATATTGCCAAGAATCCATTACAATATTAAATCTATTGTTCTTAATTCATTATCTATGGAACGTATTCTTCGTGTTGCTGGTTATCCTAATTTAAGTGAACTTAAAATCTTTAATTTTAATGGTAAAATTGTTTCACATTATTTAACAGGTAAATAACTTGTACACTAACCTAGATAATATCTATTTTTTATCTAGTTGAATCACCACTTCGACGAATTTTTCAGCGACAAATTACAGATCTTATTCTTGTATTTGAAAATTCTTTTAATGAAATATCATGTGAACATTATTCAACAGATATATATGGATTTATTTTTAAATTCTTCGAAAATCTAAAACATTTATCTATTATTGGATCATACTCGAAAAATTTTCCACCTTTAATACTTTGTAATTTACCTTCAACTACTTACTACTCTTCAACACTTTACAAATTATGTATTCATGTTATGCATTACGATGATTTACTTGCTTTACTTGACGGTCGTCTCAAACAATTAAATACATTGAATGTTGTTATTATAGATGAGGATTTTCATTCAACGAATGTTTATAATACGGTAAGTTTAAACATTAGATTAACCTTTGCTAGGATCGCCATCTATATAGAAGTTATATAGATGGTAGTGTCCTGCGGGAACGACTTTTTTCTCTAATTTTCCCATTCCCGTGGGAAGGGGAATGGGAATTCCCATTTAGACTTAGGGGATGGGAATGGGAACAAAGTTAAAAATTGATGTTCCCTAAATTTATTCTATCTTATTTCAATACAATAAGAATATTTCTATGTAATAGCTGTTTATTTTTGATAACTATTGTTATTCATATACCATTAACAGAAGAATAACGAATTTCTATGAACAAAACATAGACAGATTCATTTATTCTTAACTAAATCGTAATTCAATCATTACAACTATTATTTTCTTTTTCTTCATCATCTCCGAATGTGATATTGTCAAAATCATCTTGTGATACATCATTATCATCATCTTTTTTTGAATACATTTGTTTTCTCATTGGTGTAGTTGATATGCTATTATTTTTTCGTTTTTTCATTTGTTCAATTGATGGTGGAGATAACTCTATTATTTGTTAAAGATATTTCATTTATTTAATATAAACAGAATTGAGCAGAACTGTCTTTATACTTGTAAAAAGACATCTCAGTAGGATGTTTAGCCAAATGTTTATCCAATCATCATAGTACTTTTAATTTATTTAATAGTACGTAGCGAGCAGCTGATATATGGCAACAACACTTTGTCTCATAAATGTATAGAGCTTTAGAAAACCTTAGAGAATGGGAATAAAATTTTTTTTAGGGAATGGGAAGAATTTTTTTTTCTTCGGGAATGGGAATAGGGAATGAGAACCAAAAAACGTTGTTCCCGCAGGACTCTAATAGACGGACGATCCTTTTTCCTCTTTCATATAGTCAGATATATAGTGTAGTGTGTATGAATGCCTGCTGGATATATAGCCGGTGGATAGGGGTGTGCTTATTGTTGTCTTTTCCCTTTTTTTTTTGTTTGTTTTTTTTTCTCCTTTGTAAACAAGCTTTGGGTTTTTGTTTTTGGAGAATAAAAGAAAAAGGAATCTAACAATCATTTTTCAAAATTTTAATCGGTAGTAATACAATTGATTTATATTTTCTAGAATAATTTACCTGATTTGAAATATTTTAATTTACAATGTAATTGTTTAACTGATGCATATTATAATAAAATTCTACCACTTTTACGTCGTATGTTAAATATTGAAGTATTAAATTTAAATCTTATTCTTGACAATCTAACAACATTTATTGATGGTAAACATATTTATAATGAAATTATTGTTCATATGTCAAAACTGAATAGATTTAACTTTTGTTTTTGTAACTTCATCGAATTGGATCATTTAGTTCATCATTTATCTAAAGATGATATTTTACAAACTTTCAATAACATAACAGATCAACAAGTAGATTGTATGATAAAATATCGAAATTTTGATATCAAATATCATGTGTTTACATTACCGTTCATCTTTGATAATCTTTATTATATTGATAATACATTTTCGAATATTATTTTCAATCATGTTTTATGGTTGGTGGTGGACGATGGAATTCCATTCGAACACGAATTCTTCATGCGGATTTCTTGGTCTTTTCCTTTTCTTAAAGTATTGCAGGTGTTTAATATTTCTCCACAATCCCCAATATTAAACTCTAATGATAATCAATTATGTTCAACAATTATTAAATATCCTTATCTTACTTCGCTCGATCTTAGATTTGTTCATCAGGATTATGTCGAACAATTTCTTAACGATAAAAAAACACATCTACCGCGTCTAACCAAACTTCTAGTTAATTATTATTACTTAGAAAATGTCACGAAAAATTTTACAAACGATAGAACACGACTCAATTGTATGAAAGTGAGACAATTAAATTTAGATCCTATAATAAATATACATTCAAAAGATTTCTACGATTATTTTCCTTGTTTGGAACTTTGATTTTGTTTTGTCTTTAATTTAATAAAAATGAATCTTGAAAATGTTGAACAATAATTATTAATCATATATGCTAATTAACTTGTGAGTTTTTCTATTGCGAAAAAATAATGTTTTTTACAGTAGGTTGTGGCCAATCGTTGTAAAAATTTCAGAAAGAGAAAAATTTTTAAGAGTCACACAACTCGCAGAAAAACACTCAATCCGAAAGTTGTGCAGACGTACACGAACCTTCAGAACAAGTCTATTTAGAGATAAAAATTATAGCGTTATATGAAGATCGAAAAATTTTGTTCTTTACGAAATTTCATCCTTTGTTTTCGAACGTTGCAATGTTAAATTTCTTATAGCTTATAACTATAAAGTAGTATAAAATATTCGTAGATATATTCATATTCGAGTATGCAATTGTTTGAATAATATTTGGGGGGTCGCAGCGGGTTAATATGCAAAATCAGGAATCATACAAGAATTTTCAAGACAAAAAAAAAATCAGGATTCCCAAAATATGGCACTACTCATCGAAAGTGCACACTATTTCGCAATAGAAATTACGAAATGTCAAATGAAATTCATTCTCTACTCTATTCCAGCAGTTTGCAACATCCTTAAAACGGGAAATCGTACCATTTTCCGCAGAAATCCGACACTCCATATAATTTTAAGAGGAAAATGTTCTCCCATTGCTTCAGTATTTCGAAAACATAACAACCACGTAACATAGCTAGCTTAAGCCTTAGTGAAGCAATTAAACAAAGCGCGAAATGACAAAACAAAAACGCTGAAACATTGTGATGATTTTCAACCCGTCGATAGAAAATCGTACAGTCAGCATATGTTTCGTCCTAGATGGTCGAGTATCAGCAGAAGTTGTCAATTCCAAGTGGACATTGTTGAAATATCCTCATGATGTTCCAACGATGTCCTCTCGACTAAATTAGAATAACTCTAAGTTGCTTCGCATGTCTGAGCCTTTAGGACCAAGTTATGACTACCTTATTGAATTTTGGACCTATGACGCCAGATTATTTGCAATAGGAAATATGCGAATTTCGACCGGAAATTTTGTCTATAAATAAATCTAATGGTCAGTAAGATACTTTAACAATTCCAGACAATACGAATCCATCCTTCTTAAGATATTGCATATCCAAATATTCCGATTTTTTGCGAATTTCTGAGACATAGATGGTTTTTTGAAAATTAAATATCTCAATGATACATTGGCTTTCTTTGAATCTTTTAATGCATCCTAGTGGCCATTAGATTTATTTATTGACAAAATGTCAGATCGAAATCTGCATATTTGCGTTTGCAGATAACTTGGTGTCATAAGTTCAGAATCCATAATAAATTAATTCAAGGAGGAAATATCAGAAATCAGATTTTTGTTTTTTGATTAACTGATTTTTTTGATCAAAATATGATGTTTTTGATTGAAATCAATTTAGCAAAAAAGTGATATTTATTAACGATTGCTTGAGCATGTTGCTTATTATTTTGTTCGCAACACGATCTAGATAAGCTGGACGTTAGTTAAATAGTTTTGTGTGCTTCTGGATCTAGGATCTTGTGGATCACAATGCTAGACATATTTGTTGAAATATACACCTCATAAAAGTGTAGCTGCTTTATCAGATCATACTGAACTCTTAAATACTTCTAAAATTCAGTTAAACAAAACGAAATTTTACTTAAGGCAGTCCAAAAATAGTGAAATGTGAATCGGACCAATTCATATAATCATCAATGC